GAGATGGGAATTATAGCTATGCCAAAATAATACCCATGCTGTAGGCAGAAAATCTAGGCATTATAGGTAAGAGGCAGGTAAATTTTGGAATTCCCACCATAAAAGAGACAATATGTTCAATTACATTAAAAGTCTTCTCAGCTTTTCAAGGTTTACAAGGCAATCCAGACTCGAAAAGTGTGATAAGAGACAAATCATGTTGGATTGTGAGCTTATTAATCATAGTTATAACCTGGCATTTACATAATGCTTTAGGGTTTGCAAAGCACTTTATATACATTCATTATCTCTGATACTCACAACAACCTTATGTATCATTCTTTTATCCCCATTTTACAGACAGAAGAGGTTAAGTGACTTGTGCTAACATCACACAGCTTGTGAGTTGAACCTAGTTCTCCCTGATTCTAAGTCTAAGCATTGTTCCCCTATGCCAAGCCTCTAGATTCAACTACTCAGAACTATCATAGTGGCAGGCACTCTATTACACTGTTGGTGGATGTCTTGGCAAATTTTTTGAAGCACACACAATCTGGATACACAAGAAAGTTATAAAAATGATCATATCTTATGACCCAATGAGCCCTTTATGAGAACTGTACCCTAAGGATGTAATTATAAAGAATAAAGACCTATCAGGACAAAAAAAAATTGTCATTGTTGATTTATTCATAATAGCAAAAACAAAACAAGAACACTCGAAACAACCTATGTTCAGCATCTGGGGATTGGATGAATGTGATGTGGGCTCTCAGCATGATAGAATACAACTGTACCATTAAAATGACAAATAATAGAAATAGAAAATGAACACAGAAGAATTAGAAACACACCTTGGCTGCACAAGAAACAACAAAAGCAAAACTCAGTGCACAGATGGAAAAGGGATTTGAAGAGGCCAGAGCAAATGAGCTCTTCCATTCTTTGTCTTTCTGTCTCTTTTCTTCTCTCTATTTCATTCTATTTCCCCCCTGTTAAAAATATGTATATATCTGCATATTATATGTGTGTGTGTGTGTGTGTGTGTGTGTGTGTGTGTGTGTGTGTGTGTACACACACGGACGGGGGAGAAGAAAGGTGAAAGAGAATTCGAGAGACATGTATATGCATGAATGATTCAGTTGTTTTGTCTTGTTTTGTTTTTGTAAATACTCAAATGATCTGAAATCTCATTACCTCTGGAGTTCCTTCCATTGGTGTAAATTATAACCCATCCTTTGTCCTCCCCAAATTTTGTCTCTAATGTGCCAGAAGCCTTCACCAAAGTTCTACTCTGGTGCCTCATTATGTCATGAGTGACTGTTCTTTGATGCTATGGCAGAGGGGAAAAAGCTTTGGCAGTTCTACCATTCCAGAAAGCTCTTGAGTTTGGCTATAGTAGAAAACTGAGAGTTTTTTGAAGACCGGTTCTACTAATCATCAAGAGGCACAAAACCAGGAGGCTGTCCACCAGATGATGAAAGTTTCAGGGGCCATCATTACCCATAAAATAGGAGAAAGTAAAAAAAAAAAAATTAAACTCTGCAAAAATAATTTCCAAAATCATAGGAAACTGTAAATATGAATCAAGAAATAGGAGATAGTTCACTGGCAATCAGTATTAAACAAGAATAGCTCATGTCTTGGAAAATGACAGTCTATTTTTAGTTCTTTTATCAACCAACTTAGTTTTCCTTGGTCATTCATGAACATACAGATATAAAGAGTATAGACTCCACCTCAGATGCAGCAATAGTAATTCAAGTCAACATCATAGCAGAGAGATGAGTGCATTTAAGCTGAGATTTAAAATATTACAGAAATTAAAACATAAATACTAATCATATTATTACCTGGTTCAATAAGTGATAAAGTCCAATACATTATTTGGATGATATATTTTACAAAATCTATGAGAGTTTAGAGAAAATAGTCTTGTAAAATATTATTTAAATACAAAGCCAAAGTATAATAATTCTTAAATTATTGGCATAATTGATTTTTTAATGGACCACTCATTTGTTCTCTGACCCCCCCAAGGATTTTGATTTATACATAGATTCATTATGACCAATCGAGTTCCCAGAAGTATCGTATCATTAGAGGTGACAAGCTAGAGATTTTGAACCAAAGAGAGATGAAATGAACCATGGGGCATAATTAATATTATAAATAAATATTATAGCTAGAACAGTGAGGTAGAAATCGTAGTTGGCTGGAAATATTTTACTCTGTTCTCTGAAATTGTTTTAAATTTTTTATTAAAATGCTTAAACTATACTGAAGCACAACCCTTAAGAAAAGATAGGAGGTAACATATCAAAAGGGTAAAGAATGGTATAGTCTAGAAAAGAGTTCTCTTTTGCAAATAGGCATCAAGACTGGGGAGTGGGCATCACTTCTTTTGACTGTTTCTCTATTGTGGTCAGATTGCATTCTTCCCAAATGATATGCTGATAACTACAAATTTGCATATACCAAGAGAGATACATGCTTATGCATTCACAGTATACATTCTTCTTGTGCTATGAAAAAGATAATTCTCTTCAGGGTAGTAACCTCTAATTTAAGCCAATAAAATGTTTCTATATATAAACTAACTAAAAATTATGAGGAGGTAGGCATGTGTATTGGTAAAATGAAGGAAACACAAAATGGCTCATGACTAGACAGTTGGAAAGAACTAGTAAAAATCAATACAGACTCAGATAATAAATTCAAGCCCTGTATATATAACTTGTAAGATATTTAAATGTTGCATATTTAATTTCCTACATCTGTAAAATGGGACTGATCATCTTTTGCAACTTTACTATAATGTCAAGGTTATCAGGTTAACAAGACAAATTTCTATTAAAATCCTTCGGAAAATTGAGATAAAGAAATAATGGATATAAATAACCCCCACCTCTAGCAATATATTCTCTCTCCTGGGCTATTGCAATAGGCTGTTAATTATGTTTCTCATCTCTCCCTTCTTGAATCTATCTTCCATACAACTACAACTGTGACATTCCCAAAACACATACGTCCACGTCATTATTCTGCTTAAGATGCTTCGGTGGCCCCCTATTTCTTCTAGGATAAAATACAAACTCTTCTTTCATTGGCATTTAAATGCCTTCATAATTTTGTTCCCATCTCTATTACAAACAGCCTTGACTATGTTATGTTTCATGAATTCTACATTCTGGATTATTTCTTGTCTTCTTGTACTCAAATGGCATTTAGTGGTTCCTCTCTCCCCTCATGATTATTGCCCACTTGCACTATATATGTATGGGTGTGTGTATACATACATGTGTGTATTTATACAAACGTGTATGTTACATAGTTATTTTCACGTTGTCTTCCATTAGAATGTGAAATCAGGGACTCTTCCCCCCCCCCACATTTCTTTGTATCCCTAGTGCTTAGCATAGTAAGAACTTAATACATGTTTATTAACTAACTGAATGCTGTCATACAAGACATTCCATCTTTCCTCTACATGCCTAGAATGTTTTCTGCCCTATCTCTTGGAATCATCTCCTACATGAAGCCCTTTCTGATACCCAGTCATTACTGCTCTTTGTACCACTTCACCCTAACTTACTTGTTTTGTATTTACATGTTAGATTGTACATATTACACGTTAGATTGTAAGCTCCCTATGGGCAAAGACTAACTTTTGTCTCATTTTTTGTATTCCCAGCATTTAGAACAGTGTCTGGCATACAGTAGATACTTAATAAATGTTTATTGATTTACCCAGTTGAGTGTAATATCCTTGAAAGTAGGGACTATTTGCCTTTTTTTTAATTTATTTGTTCCCCAGCACCTAGTACATTGCCTGACAAAGAGTAGGTATTTAATAAATGCTTACTAAATTTAAATGTTTATGTTATGACTCTCATTTCAGGGTAATGAATTTCCAGTTTTTCTTCCTAAAATGAGTCATGTAGATACTACATTGGTCTTAGGTCTAGTCTTGGCTTTTTGTTATATACTACCCAGCTCTGATTCAAGCTACCTGCATTTTTCTTTTTAGAATGGACTGTAGTTGTTCTATCCTATTCTGAGAAGCATTACAAAGAAGAATAAAAAATTAAAATAGAGCAATTTGAAACTTCTGGAAGAAAGGTGGTATTTAATAGTTATGCTATTTAATTTCCCCATGCTTCTTTAAAAAGAAGGTTGAAAACACTCCCACCCACATGGAAAAATGCCCAGAATAGAGCTTCTTGTTTCCCTATTACTACCACGGGAAAGTTTGGGATCACTGAGAATTTTTGAATGCATCTATTTAGAGATTCTTTAAAGAAATAATTTTGATTACTTTAGAATCATAACTTTAAAGATATTCAAAAATAAATTATAATATTCCTGCCTACAAATATTAATAGGAAAAGCATCAAATTTAAGTTAAAAATAGCAATATAACTAAAAAAATGAGATATAGGTAAAATTTTTTTTAAAAAATTAGAGATTTTAAAGGCATCAAAGGTAGAAAGATGAACAAGAGTGATGTCATACTTTCTTTATAAATTAACATTTTTAAATGTAAAGCATTTAAAATTTAAAATGTATAAATTAAAATGTAAAACATTTAAAAATATAAAATTTAGTAAAAATTACTAAAAAAATTAAGTCCTATAAAAAAAGGTATGCAATAAACTATGCTTTTCAATTACTTAGGCAAAGTTTAAAGTATTTTTGTGGCTTTTAAAATTGTCTAGAATCCACAATTCATTTAATTGTTCAGATTTGCTCACAAAACTACCACCTATTATTACCTTCTCTGTAAAAGATCTTAAAGAAAGACCCTCAAACTATCTTTGTTTCCTCAGTTGAATTCAGTATTTCTATCTTTCTTGACATACTGATTCTACAAGCATCAGTATTTGAATTATCAAGCAGTGGAAGCATATATGAAATTTGTTTGAAAGTAAATCCCTCGTGAGTGTGTGCGTGTGTCTTTAAAGAAGAAAACAACAAAGAAACCTCCTGCTAAAGAGGTTTAATCAAACACTTCAATCTACCTCTCCTGTTCTTGCTTCATTCGTATTCTCTCCTCTTCTGAAGTAAGGGCTTCCTGTACTTTTATTTTACCCGATTTCTCAATCTTGTCATCTTTTCGATGTTTGCCAAACCTGTTAATAACAAAAAATCTAACTTGTCAATTCAACCAAAATGAGTTTTCTTTCTCCTTTCATAAAGATATATGCACTCATTGTAATATGAGCTACCTCTTAAGGGGGAGGATAGAGATGCTCAAACCTCCTGCAGTGTTATTCAGGACTGATATGTCTCATTCAGATTCTTTCCCTTCATTTTTAATAAAGAATCTTCCAAAGAGAACTATTTTGGAGTATATGGCATTCACAGTTTTTGTCATGAGTAAAAAAAAAAAAAATCGGGTCATATTTATTAAAATATTCAATTAACTTCTATGTGTTCTAAACAGTTCTACTATTGGAAGATGGAAATGAAAGTTAAATTGGTGGGTCTTTTTTCCTCACTTAGGAACTACAAAAGATAATCCACACTCATCTATTTAATAATCTCCTCATATAATAATCTCTTCTTTATTTCCATAACCAAGTTTATTGGACACATTCATCATAGTTGAAAAACTGACAAACAAGGCCATGTTTGTAAGGTTTAAAGTACAAAAGATAATTTACGTTGCTATAATGCCTCGTGCTTATTAAATTGGAAGTTTTAGGGCATTCTTATCAAATGCTCTCTGAAATCTGATGAAAAGAGATCACCAATGGTGGTATCTTTGACATGGAAACTCACATCTGAAGAAAAACACTGAATTTACTAATGAAGGCAATGACAAGGCACATTGGTCAGCCTGAGCTTTTATAGATGGCTGCCTGAATTGAAAACCGCTTAAGAGCAAGTTAAGTTTGTGCACCCCAACAAACTCTGAAACCTCCTAAATATTTTAGAAATGCCTTTTCTTGGCTCTTTTGCTTTCTCTCATTCACAGCAAAAAATATATCCAAAATGCTTGCAATATAAACCCTCCAATAATATTGACCTATAGTCATTGTCAACAGATAATGTTGCCAAAAAAAAAAAAAAGGAAATTCCTGTTTTGAGAATGGTTATTTAATAAAACACCTGTAAATACATGCAGTATGGTGAGCGCTTTCCTTAGGAGGCGTGTTTCTTAGGTTTTCTAGAACTTAGAAGGTTACACTCACCATTAGTCATTGAGAAAGGGAAGAGCAGGACTAGCGCAGTGAGAAGAAGTCATTAGAAAAGGGGGAGGAACCAAGGCAGTTAAAAAACAGAAAGTAAACCACTTTAGTAAAGAGTAGCTCTGAAGGTGGCATGTAATTCAATTCAGAGTAACATAAATCTGGTTTTAAATATAATCTACATACCAGTGCTGAAGTGTGCTGATTGTTTTTAAATCGTATGAATTCGTACATCAGTGAAAAATTAAATCCTCAAAAGTGTTAATAAGAGCAAAAGAATAACAAATTCTAACATTAAAATAGAAAAAGGAGAATAGAAAACCCTACTTTTACAAACACATGCCTTCTCAGCTTAGGGCCTGACATTCTACTTTACATAGAAAATTGAAGTTATCTTCTCCTCTCTTCCTCATTCCACAATTTGACTTCAATTCCCACTATTTCTATCTTTACTCCTGTTTCTGATGAAGTTGCTGAATAGTCATTTCTCAGTTATGTCTGACTCTCCGTGACCCCATTTGGGGTTTTCTTGGCAAAGATACTGGAATGGTTTGCCATTTCCTTCTCCAGCTCATATTACAGATGAGGAACTGAGGCAAACAGAGTTTAGTGACTTGCCCAGAATCATAGGTAGTGAGGGTCTGAGGCAGGATTTGCACTCAGGAAGATGTCTTCCTGATTCGAAGTCCATTGGTCTATCCATTGTACCACCTAGCTGCCCAGATGAAGAGGTTGGCTTACTCTTTACCAAGGCCAACCTCTTCACATGTTCCTATGATTCTATCCCCTCCATTTCATTTTATCTCCAGTAAATTACACACCTAATCTGTGTGTCTCTTTCTTTCCTTTGATTTCTCTATCTCATTCAATCTCTCCCTATCAACCATTCCATAGCCTGTGATTTAGAAACATATCTAAGTCTCCACCATTAAAGAAAAGCTTTACTAGATCCTGCCATCTCTACTAGTGACCATCCATTATCATATTCCCCTTTCTCAACCAAACTATTTGAGAAAACCAACCATTTCCTTTGCCCTCATTCTTTTCTTAAGCCTCTGCAATACAGTTTTTTATATCACTCAATTAAAATTACCTTCTTTTATTTTTATTTATTTAATATTTCCTCCATTACATGTAAAAATAATTTTTAACATTTAAAAAAATTCTGAGTTCCAAATTCTCCTCCTCCTTCCTTTCCCTCCTCTCTCATTGAGAAGGCAAGCAATCTGACATGTTGTACATGTGCAGTCATACAATAACTCCATATTGGTCATGCTGTAAAAGAAAACATAGACCAAAAAAAAAAAAAAACCACACACACAAAAAGTGAAAAATAGTATTCTCTGATCTGCATTCAGGCTCCATCAGTTCTTTCTCTGGAGGCAGATAGCATTTTTCATCATAAGTCCTTTGAAATGTCTTGGATCATTAAATTGCTGAGAATAGCTAAGTCATTCACAATTGACCATTATATAATACTGCCTTTTACTGTGTACAGTGTTCTTTGTCAGGTTCTACTCATTTCACTTTGCATCAGTTTATGTAAATCTTTCCAGGTTTTTCTGAGAGTATCCTGTTCATCATTTCTAATAGCACAGTAGTATTCCATCACAATCATATGGCACAGCTTGTTTAGCTATCCCCATTGATTGGCATCCCCTCAAATTTCAATTCTTTGACACCACCAGAAGAGCTGCCATAAATATTTTTCTACCTATAAGTCCTTTTCCTTTCTGATGTTATATCTTTCTGGGATACAGACCTAGTAGTGGTATTGCTGGGTTAAAGGGTATGTGAGCTCTTTGAAGTTCCAAATTGCTCTACAGAATGGTTGAATGAGTTCCCAGATTCTACAATCAGTGTCTCAATTTTTCCACATTTCCTCCAACACTTGTCATTTTCCTTTTCTATCAGATTAGCCAATCTGATAAGTGTGGGGTGGGACCTCAGAGTTTTATAATTTTCATTTCTTTAATCAATAGTGATGTAGAGCATTTTCCCATATGCCTATAGATAGCTTTGATTACTTTCTTTGAAAACTGCCCATTAATATCCTTTGATCATTTATCTTTTGGGGAATGGCTCACATTTTTATAAATTTGATTCAGATCTCTATATATTTGAGAAATGAAGCTTTTATCAGAGAAACTTGTAATTTTTTTCACATTTATATTATTAACTGTATTTCCCTCCATCCTATTTTCCCCTGTTTATCCTTCTCACTCTCTCTCTCTCTGTTTTTACCTTGTCCATCCTCAAAAGTATTTTGCTTCTGACTAACACCCCCCCCAATTCACCCTCCATTCTATCATCCCCCTGCTGCCTTATCCCCTTCCTCTACAACTTTCTTGTAGGGTAAGATAGATTTCTATACCCAACTGAGCATGTATGTTACTCCCTCTTTAAGCTAATCACAATGAGAGTAAGGTTTATAGATCCCTTCCCCACCTCCCTATCTTCATCTCCATTGTAAAAGCTGTTTTCCACCTCTTTTACAGGAGATAATTTATCTCACATAAAATTTTCCCCTTCTCCCAGTGCATTCCTTTTTCTCACCCCTTAATTTTTTTTTTAGATAATCATCCCATCATACTCAACATACAGCCATGCCCTCTATCTATGTATACTCCTTCTAACTGCCCTAACAATGAGAAAGTTCTTAGGAGTTAAAAGTATCATCCCATGTAGGAATATAAACAGTTTAATCTCATTGAATCCCTCATGATTTTTCTTTCCTGTTAACCTTTTTATGTTTCTCTTGAGTCTTGTATTTGAAAGTCAAATTTTCTATTCAGCTCTGGTCTTTTCAACAGGAATGCTTAAACGTTCTCTATTTTATTGAAAGTCTATTTTTTCCCCTGGAAGATTATACTGATTATACTTTTGCTGGGTAGGTGATTCTTGGTTGTAATGCTAACTCCTTTTACATTTGGAATATCATATTCCAAGCCTGCCAATCCTTTCAAGTAGAAGCTCCTAAGTCTTGTATTATCCTGACTGTGGTTTCATGGTATATGAATTGTTTCTTTCTGGCTGCTTGCAGTATTTTCTCCATGACTTGGGAGCTGTGGAATTTGGCTATCATTTTTTAGAATGTTTTCATTTTGGGATTTCTGGATTCTTTCCATTTCTACAGGGCAGTTTTCCTTGACAATTTCTTGAAATATATTGTCTAGACTCTTTTTTTTTATCATAGCTTTCAGGTAGTCCAATAATTCTTAAATTCTCTCTCTTCAATTTATTTTCCACATGAATTGTTTTTCCAAAGAGATAGCTTACATTTTTTTTCTATTTTTTTTCATTAATTTGATTTTGTTTTCTTGCTTCTTGATGTGTAATGGAGTCATTAGCTTCCATTTACTCAATTTTAGTGCCTAACAAATTATAATCTTCTTTGAGATTTTGTACCTCATTTTCCATTTAGTCAATTCTATTTTTTTAAGAGGTTCTTTTCTTTAGTGAATTTTTGTATATCTTTTTTCATCTGGCCAATTCTGCTTTGTAAGGTGTTCTCTTCATTGGATTTTGTGCCTTTTTTTTTTAAACCATTTGGCCTATTCTCTTTTTAAGGTGTTGTTTTCTTCAGTATTTCTTTGTGTGTGTCTCCTTTATCAATCTGTTGACTTTTTTCATTATTTTCTTGCATCACTGTACTTTCCCAATTTTTCTTCTACCTCTCTTGTTTAATTTTTAAAATCCTTTTTAAGCTATTCTAGGAATTTCTTTTGGGCCTGAGATCAATTCATATTTTTCTTTGAGGTGTAGCAGTTTTGACTTTGTTGTCTTCTTCTGAATTTGTGTTTTGATCTTCCCTGTCACCACATAACTTTCTATGGTTTTTGTTGTTTGTTCATTTTTCCAACCTATTTCTTGACTTTTAACATTATATTAAAGTTGGGCTCTGCTCCCAGTTGAAGGTGGCACTTTCCAAGCTTCAG